CCTCCTCATGACCTTCCTCTCTTCCCTCCTCATCCTCCTGCCCCTCCTCCTCCTCCTCGCCTTCTACTCTCCATCTCCTCTCCCTCCTCCTCCTCCTCCTCCTCCTCCTCCTCCTCTTCCTCCTCCTCCTCCTCCTCTTCCTCTTCCTCCTCCTCCTCCTCCTCCTCGTCCTCTCCCTCTCCCTCCTCGAGATCGGCCTCGACGGGGATTGAGCAGCCTTCGAGTGGTGAGACGCAGATTTTTTTTGCTAATGTCACTCAGCTCAGCAAGAAATCGTGGGGGTTTCTCACCAGTAGTAGGGCTGCCAATTATCACCTTTTAGCTTTAGTGGAGACCCACATCGGGTCCAGTGATGACGTTTCTCGGTGGAAGTCTGAGGCCTCGAAGGCCAAATTCAAATGTTTCTTGAACCCCGCCCGCGGCACGGGAAACAGCAAGACCCAGTCGGGTCAGTCTCGCGCCAACGAAGGGGGTGAGTGCATCCTTGCCAGGAAGCACCTACCAGTCCATTCACTTGCTCAGACCGACGGGGCTTGGAAGGACCTTACAGTCGACGGTTCCGCCAGCCTCGATGGCTTCTCTGCTGTAGTCTGCCATCAGAAAGGGTTTTCGTTCATTCTAGTTTCTTTTTACGCCTACTCTGGCGAAGGGTACAGGGGCCGAAACCTCCCTCGGTTCGCTCGGCTCGGGGCGATGCTGCAGCAGTGTCGCTTGCCCTGGGTTGTTATCGGGGACTGGAATCTGCCACCCGAGACTCTACAGCGAGTCGGCTTCGTAGACAAGGTAGAAGGAGTCATCTACAAGTGCCCGCTGCAATACACGTGCTCTCTAGGTTCTGGCACCCACATAGACTACGTACTGGCTAGCAAAGCCAGCGTACCGTTTATTTCCCGTCTCGAGGCTCGTGTTGATGTTCCGTGGCGCCCGCATTGTGGGCTTGTCCTGGTTATCCGCAGCTCTTGCCAGCAGCTGCTTTGCCGAGAGCTCCGCGTGGCGCCCAAATTGCCGCAGGCCCCGAGGCCGAAGCTCCAGCCGCAAGTAGGTTCCAAGTCTAGTATGAAGAAGGCTGCCGACGCTACGAAGCGCTTAGCAGCCCGTGTTGCTACAGACGAGTGCTATCAGGAGTTGTACGGTGATTTGAACGAGGACGATCCTCAAGCAAGTCACCCGACTCGGCATTTGTTTGGGGACTCGGACGACGAAGGCGGTTTCCCTGGGGCCCCTCTTTCCCTGGTCTCCCTTGTGGGGCCTTCTTCCTCTGGCGGGGCGCGGGTTTCCACGATGTCCGAGTCCCAAGATTTTGATTTCAATAACGAGCTCGATCAAGAAGCCCACGAGCCACCCTTCGAAGTTGAGCCCCCCCCCAGTCCCGCCTGCGGCTAGCGACGTAGGCGGCAGCTCCCCAGGTAGTCAGTCTCCCTCTCCCTCCCTCCCTCCTCTCCCGACGTTCCACATCCCCGACGAGTCCTGGGACGCCGCCAAGCGGGACGTGGGTTACGTTCCCGTGGGGTCTACACAAGAAGTCTGGCCAGTCATTCGGGATTCTGGAGCTTTCCACGTGGGTCGTGAACATATTATGAGCGTGAGCGCACTCTATTCGCAGTGGGTGCGCACCGTCGAGCATACCATATGTACACATCATGGAGAGCAGCAGCCCAGTCTTTCTCGCTCACAAGGCCCAGTTTTTCGCGAGCGAGTGCTGCATATGTTGGATAAGGTTCGATCGGAGCCGCTGCGCGGGCAGGTAGCTTGCTGGTGGGGGAGAGTGCATACGGTACTTCAGAATCTTTGTCATCACTTGACTAAAGGGAATGGGGAAGTACAGCGCTCCCGTCTGGCTGCAGCGTGTCGTGCCTTAGCCTGCGATACTTCAGAGTCTGTTCATCTACCGCTCGCCTCGCTGGATCCTGCCGACGGAGCGTGGTCTCTCTGGCAGTCGAGGCTGATGCACGTGGAGGAGGTCAGCCTCCCGATTTTGCAGACGCTCTGTTCAGTTGCCAAGCGAGTCGCTGGACGTGCCAGGCGGAGGGACCTTCAAAGCTCACTCAGCGAATTCCGTGAATGGATTTCTTCTCCCGAGGCTTGTGGGGTCCTGCATAAAAACCTGAAGGCCGTTCCCCCCCCTTCCTCTGAGGTCGAGGTCGGGGGGGAAATGATTTTTCATCCTCGGGATGTTTTAGATCAGAAGGCCAAGAAGTGGCATCAGCTTTGGAGCCCAGGCGACGTCTCACTTGACTCTTTAGGCCAGTTATTTGATCGCATTCGCGCAGCTGCCGAAGACGATCAGCTGCCAGTTCTCTCCTGCGACCGAGTGGAAGCCGCGCTCAAATGTATGAAAGCACGTGCTGGTCAAGGGGTGGATCAGCTTTCACCTACAGACATGCAGCGGCTTCCACACGGAGGGCTTCTTCAGCTCGTGCATCTGTTGCAAGCCTGCGAGGCTCGGATTACGTGGCCATGGCAAGTTCTTCTGGTCATAGGAAGGTTACTGGGGAAGAAGTCTGGAGGTGACAGGGTGATCGGGCTGATGGCCATGCTCACTAGGGCGTGGTCATCAGCTCGTGAAGAAGATGTTCGCCTCTGGACCTCCTCCTCAGAGCCGGCGTGGGATGCCGCGATCCGAGGTAACTCTGCACTTCGTGAGGCTTTCGTTCGAGCCTTGCAAGATGAAGCTTGTATGCGTTTGGGGATCGAGTTCGGCACGGGTTTAATCGATGTCGAGGCTTTTTACGACTCGATGTCTTGGGAAGCTCTTGTTGATACCTCTCTGCGGTTACAGTTTCCTGCTACTGTTCTCGGATTAGAACTTCAGAATTGTGTCGCCCCGCGTACTCTCGCTCAAGACGGGTGTTTTTCGACCGCCTTCCAGCCTTCGCGGAGCATCGTCCAGGGCATTCGGAGTGGTGTTCGTTTTGGGAGATGCATGGTTTACTTTATTCTGGCTAAAATCACCACGGCGCACGTTGGGGCCTCCATGAGGATTTGGGTTGACGACCTTTACCAGCGGGTGATGGGGTCCAGGAAAGTGGTCCGTGCTCAGCTCTTCGGGTGCCTCCGCGACACTTGTGACGAGCTCGGCAAGGCAGGGCTGAAGGCAGCCTCCAAGAGTGTTTTAGTGTGCTCGCAGTCCAGTGATGGGAAGCTGATTGCAGCCAAGCTCAAGAAGTTGGGCTACACAGTCCACAATGTTTTACAAGCTCAGTACCTTGGCGTGGACCTCGGTGCGGGCCGTCCTGCTCGCTCCTCACGGCGCAAGCGTGTTGTCAAAGCTTCTGTTATGACTGGTAAGGTTCGCAAATTCGCGAGGGCGTCTCGGAGATATCAGGTCACTGGGCGTCTGGAGCGAGCAGGGGCCCAAGCCGCTGGCTCGTATGGGCATCAAGTTCACGGGTCCTTTGGGTCTCACCGCGTTGGTTTTCGGCGCCGCCTCGGAGCAGCTCTAGGCTCCAAGCAGAAAGGACGGTGCCTTACTACACTTTTGGACTTGAAGGTTCCAGGAGCAGACCCGTTCGTGAAATTCCCCAGGGATACTATGAAGCTCTGGCTCGACACGTGGTTTAGTTTTCCTGATCTCCGTCCCATGGTCCGTCAGGCTTGGCCTCAGGTTGTTCGCTGCCTCCAGAACATCATCCCGTCCCAGTTCGCTAGACAGGTTCGAGGCCCAATGGGAGCTCTTATTGGGTACTTGCTTGAGGTTGGTTGGACTCCCACGTCTCCCACCGAGTGGACTACGCCAGGGGACGAAGGTGCTCACTGGCTTTTTCCCGACAGTGGCCTCACAGGTTTCGAGGACACGTCAGAGGTGCTCGACGAGTTTCAACAATCGTTTCAAGACGCCGCTTGGGCGAAGGCAGCGCAGCACTACTGTGGCGAGGGTTCTTCCCAGGGAGTCGACAACACCAGTTACCGTCGGTTCCTTCGGAGTCTCCAGGGCAGCAAGCACGGGCATCGCCTTTCGGAAGCGATGATCAATGTGGCTACTGGGGGTTTCTGGCCTCGGCAAAAGGTAAACGACGAAACTCGACATCGTCTTGGTCCAGATTGCCCGAGGTGCAAGGAGCAGCCCGAGACACCACTACATCGGTTTTGGCTATGTCGCTGCCACAGTGCGGAGCACAAGGCTTTCAAGCAGTCCGAGGATCTAGTTCCTCGTGCAGTCTCTTGCGGCGAGAGCGAAGCATGTTTTTGGTTCCGAGGGCTCATCCCTCGCGCCTGGACGGCCGCACCCCCAGCTAGTACCGAGCCTCAGTGGGTCACTGTTGGGGGGAACGAGCCGCCAGAGCTGAACGACGCTACGTTGGGAGAGGGGCGTATTGGGGAACCAGTCATTATCTTTGGAGATGCTTCGGGAGGCCCAGATGCTCGGGAACCAGCTTTCAGGCGCGTAGGAGTTGCAGCTGTTACCTTGGCATCGTACGATCCTCCAGTCGTCCGTGCAGGAGTTTTAGGCCCTCTCCCAGGTAGGAAGCAAACAGTGCCCCGCGGAGAACTTCAAGGGCTTATGTTGGCTCTCTTGTACTCCAGAGGCCCTTTGATTTACGTTACTGATGCGTCAGGAGTTTGCGATGGTTGGTATAATGGGTTCTACGAGAGACCCGCTGGGGAGAGTATGGGGGCTTGGGATACTATTCGGTCTATTATCCGGAGTACGGAGCGTGACGCGTCACTTATCTCTGTCCTCAAAGTCGACTCCCACCTCTCCCCAGCCCAGATTATTCAGCAGAATATTCCGAGGTTTCTGGTCGTAGGCAACACAGTCGAAAGACCTCTGGTGCTCTCCTCCTCCTCCAGGTGGCCGAACGGCCAGGCAGCACGCACAAGAGGAATGATCGTCACCATTGCCATGCGGAAGCGTGCTGGTCGATGATTGATACCTTCACTCTCTGTCGACAGTTCGGCGGATCCCCGCCTTCATCTGTAAGCCAAAGGCTGCGGCGGGCACAGGCTGCAGCGGGCGCAAGCACGCTGCTACGCTCGCTCCCGCTCTCCCTGGCACCCTTTCACTCGGGTCGGGAATTCGAGCGCTCTGCGCGGCCCTCCAGCACACTGCGCACCGAGAAGGCCACTGGCTGCAGCCCGCTCAAGTGCCACTCGTTGCCGAAGCCCAGCTTCACGAGGGCCGTCCGGTCGAGCTCGCCCTTCGTCAGCCCGTCCGCCAGCATGTCCACTGTGTCGATCCAGCTGAGCTGTGCCAGCTGGAGGCGGTCGATCTGCTCACGCACCGCGAGCGTCGGCACGAACATGCGCTTGTCCGTGGTCACCTTGATGGTGGCGGCGGAGACGGCGTCAAACACTGCCTTCGCGTCGATGGCCGCGATCATCTTCAATACTAGGTCGCCGGCCTCCTGCCGCACTCGCATCTCATTCGCTGTGCACACTCCTTCACTGATCTCGGTCAATGCCACGTTCATGAGGGTGCCGGTGCCGAGTGCGTCCAACAACGCCATAAGCTCGGCGGCGTAGGTGGACCTCACTACGTTGTTCTGCTTTCTGCTGTACCAATCAAGCATCACAACCCTATACGTCGATCCGGTTTGAAGCACCTCGGCGTCAGCCTCCAGCAACATGATCACACATCCTCGGATCGCCAAACCTTCGAACTCCATGGCGTGGAAGGCTGAGTCGCTGACGACGGTCAAACGCACTCGTGTCATGTTCAACTCGATGAACCGAACTCCGAGCTGCTTCGAGTTCACCATGATCCACTTCAGCAGCCTGTTGATCTTCCGGATGTCTCCGACTGACGGCTTCTTGGCCTGCCGCTGGAGGTAGCTGACGTACACTGCAATGGGCGCCATCGTCTGCGTCATCCATGCGATTCCCCCGAGCAGCGACAGGTATGCCGCGTGGGTCTCCACGCTCACCTGGCCATCTTCATTCTCCATCACATACTGGTCTTCCTGGAGCGGTCGCAGCTGCTGAACGTAGTGCTGCTGATGCGTCCAGATGGCCTTGGTCACAGCGTCCTGCTCGTGCATGATGCCGATGCACTCAAAGCAGTCGTACTGGCGCTTCAGCTTCCCAAACTCGCTCTCGATCATGCTCAGTACCTTCTCCCGCAGGTAGTCCTCGCCGCCGCCCTTGAGGTCGTCAACGTGCGAGGACATGATCATCTGCAGCTCGCCCTTCGCGTCGTGGTACACGTAGATCTGCGGGTCGCTGATGAGCGCCTTGCCTCCTGTCTTCTCCAGCACTTGCTTCAACATGACCTGCCACAGCCTCGGCGCGTCCTTCAGACCGAAGCCGCAGCGCAGGAGCAACAACACCTCTGTCACAGGGTTGTAGTCCTCGTAGCCCTCCAGCTGCCGGAGGACTGGAATCGATCCTGGCGGCATCGTGAACTGTACCTTCCGCTTGACCTCGCCGTCCATGGCGGCGACCTGCTCGAAGGTGAGCCCGCGCAAGAACGCCTGGCTGATGTCCGCTGAGAATAATCGCCACTTGCGCTGTGCAGTCACCTGATTCACCAGTCGTTGTCCCCATCGTGTCGTAGTACCCGCAAAGGTGGACAGCTCCGGTGACTGCATGTCCTTGAAGCCTCTCACCGTGAGCCTCGCGCGCACCTGCTTCTTGCCGTCGATCTCCTTCCACTTGAGCACCCAGCGGGAGTCGATGATGTTGGTCGCCTGATCCTTCGGGAAACGCTGGAATGCCTTCAACTCCGCCCAGCGCTGGAGCTCGTCCTTCATGGCCTGCCGTACTTCAACTTCGTGAGCTCGGGCCTCTTCCAGCGTGAGCACGTTCATTTCGCGCTCGACGACAATCTCGCGCTTGCCCGTGTTGTAGACGCGCAGGATGTAGATCTCCCCTGACCCAGGTCGTCGCATGTGCTCCACCTCAGGGTGCACCCAGTACATGAGTGGCGCACCTATGCCGATCTCGACGCAGTCGGGTCGGGAATTCGAAGAATCATCCTCTGCTGCTTCTGCCACATGATCTGCGTCCGGGGCTGCAAAGAAGAAGTCGCTCTGAGCGCACTCGATGTCAACAGCAGGCAGAGCGGCCTGCTCCTTCAGGTGCTGCCAGCTCGCGAACAGGTGCTCCTGGGTCGCGTCGCTGTCCGAGTCGCCGTCGTCGTCTTTGCCACCATCATCCTTGATCGGGAGCACTGGCTCGTGCCGGGGTGCAGGGGCCTCAACTGCCGCCGCTGGCTCACCTGCACCTCGGGCTCCATGATCACGATCCGGGCCATCACGTGATCGCGATCTCTCTCGCGCTCCTCCGCCTGGCTTCACAGGCGGCTTCACGGGCGGCACAATGTTGTCGGCAGCAGCCGAGGCAGGAGAGGGCCCTCGTGGCCGATGGTGCCCTCGGTTGCTCCGACTCCTCGTTGAATCTGATGTTGCACTCGTCTGCCTGGATGCGCTCGATATGCTCGTGTCGGGCACTGGCATTGATGCACTTGTCTGTCTAGATGCGCTTGGAATGCTCGTGTCGGATATCGGCTTGTCCTGCCAGGTCATGTCGAAGTCTTCCTCCTGAAACTCTGGCGGTTCCTGAAACGGTCCGGGTTCAGGTCGTTCTGGCTGTTCATGCCGTCGTGCGTGTGGAAGGTTGCCGAACCACGGACCCCCAAGATGCGGAACCTCGGGTTCACGTCGCCGAAGTTCGCGAACAGACTCGTCGTCCGTCATGATGAACTGCACGAAGCTGACGTCCCGCCAGTGATCCTTGCCAAATATCGGGGCCAACTTCAGTCGAGCAGATCCAGACGCCTCGTGGTACCAGGACAGCTCTGGGCGTCCGCGCCGCCACCACCACAGGAAGCTGTGGTCGCATCCGACCATGCCCTCGAGCACAGACACGCCGTTGCCCACTCGCGCGCCGATGCACCCCACCAGGTAGAAGCCACTGGCGGCAACGTGCAACACCGCCAGGACCAACTCGCTGAGCTTCTGGCTGTCCGCGGTCCGCTTCCACCCGGCGTCGAAGAGCCACCCGACGCGCACGACCTTGCTGTCCAGCTGGTCCGCGTAGCTCATGATGGTGGCCACCGGGTCGCGCGATCCTGCCTCAAAGAAGATGTTGTTCGTGAACATCACGAAGTAGACGAGGCTTCGCCGAAGGTCCTGAGGTCGCACTTGAAATACTCGGCCCTGCCATCGAATGAGCACTGGAGGTCCGACCTGCAGCAAGGTAGCCGGGCCGCGCCACCCCGACTCCTCCTTCGTGCTCGGCGGCCGGTGGAAGTCAACCTGGTCGCCGACCGCCAGCTGCAGCGCCTCGTGCGGGGCGCGCGTCTTGGATCGAAGTGCGCGCCTCAGCCTGTCCTTTGCGGTCATCTCCACCATGGCTTGCATTGCAACTTCGCGGAGCCGATGATGGTGTCGGGAGATCCCTGGAATGCCAGCCGATTGGTCGTCGATCTGGCAGTCGCTCACCGGCTCGAACTCGGCGAGCAGGGGCGGAAGTCGGCCGTGCACCGCCTGGTACGGGCTGTAGCCAGCCACGGTGATGAGGAGGTTCTTGATGAGGGCACACTCCATGATCACGATCTCCAACGGCATCACAATGCCTTCTTCCGCAAGCTGGGCCTGCACGCGGTGTATGATCTTGCGCACTAGGTCGTGATGACGTTCCACCAGCTGCGCGTGCGAGCCCTCCTCCTTGGCCTTCATCTCAATGCCCCAGCGGTCCAGCCACTGGTACGCCTCCTCGCCATGGAGACCGCCCTCGGTGTCGGCAATCAGCAGCTTCATGGGGCCATGAGGACGTAGCCATCCCTGAGTGATGCCGGCGATAATCATGATCGCTGTCTTGCGTTCCAGGATGTACAGCACCGTCCAGCGGGTCGCCTCATCGATCATGTGTGCCACCATCTGTTCGCCGATGTAGAGGATGTCCCACTGCACCATCTCGTTGAAACCCGTCGCGAGCCGAGAGATCGTCATGCTCTTCGGTCCCGGTCTCGTCCATAGCCTACACACCCGGCACGTGTCGCAGATCTCCTTCACCAGGGCCAGCGTAGATGCAGGAGCGCCGGCCTTGGTCAGCAGCTCTCTGCGGCGAGCTGCTGGAGCGTGCCAAAATCGAACATGAAGTCGTCGTAGCTGGCGCCGAACGACTTCCTGGCGTGGGCTGTGCAGCAGTCGAAGCGCGTGCCCGAGGTCAAACGCGGTCCAGCCTGGCTCGTCACTTCCTCGAGCCTGCGTCCCCGCATCCACGCCTCGGGCTGGCGCGGCTGGGGCCGCAGCCGGTTGCTCCGCGGCGGGTGCCTCACCGATGGCGTCCGCCGATCCCGAGGCGCCGCCTGATGGCTCGTCCGGCTCCGCCTCTCCAGCTGCTGGCAGACGCGATCGCAGTCGCCGTGCCGCCGCTGTCGCTCGAGCCACTCGAGGTCGACGCTCCGCAGGCACAGGTGGAGGCAGTGGCGGTTCAGGTTCGGCATCTGGCGCGTCGGCTCGCGCGGCGCTCGGTGCCTGGTTCGCAGTCGGCTCCTCGGAGGCTGGTGGTTGTCTCGGTCGTAGATCTCGAGGTCCAACTGCTCTTGGGAGAACACTGTCTGCTCGGCATTCTCCAGGTATTCGGGTATGTCGTGTGTCTGAGGCCGCGCGACCACTCCGGCAGGCCGGGCACTTCAGGTCGCGATTCGTCGGCGCAAATCTATGCTTGCATGTCTCCCCTCGATCATGGGCTGGGTGGTCAGCCGGCCGATGATGCCGACATCCAGCGCACGGCTGTGCAGCGCGCGGTACTCCTGCTGTAGACACTGCTGCTGATGATGCCGCTGCTGCTGCTCCTGAAGCTGGTACTGCGGCTGCTGCTGCTCCAGAGGATGATGCTGCGGCTGCTGCTGCTCCAGAGGATGATGCTGCGGCTGCTGCTGCTCCCGAGGCTGGTGCTGCGGCCGCAGACGCCGAGGAAGCAGAGGAGCCAGCTGGTCCGGATTGAACAGCGGCCGTGGGGTAGCACCCGTACACCACGAGGTGGTGTCCCTGATGCCTCACGCGCTCCACCATCTGGGAGATGCTCGCCGCCAGCTCCCGGCAGATGCCAATCGCCCACTCCGCGTGATCCTTGGGGTTCTCTAGTCGCCATTTGTCACGCTCTGGATGGTGTCCTCGGCCACCATGGGCCAGCAAGGCGTGATCGTGCTGGCCGTCGCAGCGAAACCTCCTGAGTCCGGCGAGCAGGCGCTCGTCCGAAGCCCAGAACTCCGAGGACTTCTTGATAGGTAGTCCCGTTCGCCGCCCGATCTTGCCGGCCATGCACTGGTCGACTTGGCACCACGCCACCGCGTAGTTGTTGGCGATGTGTTGCCAGTCGTCGAGCTTGTAGAAGTCGCTGCCCAACGGCTGTTCCGACACAAAGTGGCGTCCGGCGTCCATCTGAGTACCCGCCGCTGCAGCGGCGATGCGGGCCAGCCCCACTGATGTCTTGCGACTGCGAAGCCAACCGTCGTAGTTGATGACCTTGTTGAGCGCCGAGAACCCCTTCAAGCTCGTACAGGGCGTGCTAATGAGTAAAACAAGAGGCTTGCCATGATACAGATATTCCCAAAACTGCCTCTGGCCCTCGTGCGTCATCAAGTTGCAGTCGCAAATGAGATCGAAGTTGGGACCGCCCCGATATCCTCGTCGTACGAGTAGCCGGGTCGTTCCAGATGCGCCACCGCACAGCTCCGCGACGTCGTCGTGCTGCAGGTGGCCGTAGTAGAGGTTCATGTGTGTGTCCATATCCTTGACCGAGCTGAAGAAGTTCAGCTGCTCGTCTTTCTCGTTCAGGTGCGCCTCCGAGCCGATCATGCCAAAGAACTCGGACATCATGATGTACGGTTGCTCATCGATGTGCTGGTCCTCCCTGAGCTCGGTGCCGTAGCACACCTCGTCCAGCTCGTATTCGTTCGCCACGTAGAGTTTCGTGAAATCGGAGCCGCAGTCGTCGAAGACCTGCTCCACTGTCTGTGGCCTCTTCTTCACCTTGCGCTCCGGGTCTGCTGCTTTGCGCGCCTTGTCGCGCGTCCTCTGCTCGGTGGGAAAGCTCGCGGTCAGCGCGCTCACCTTGCAGCCTGTCTCGTCGACGTCGTCCGCGAATGACACTCGGCCAGGTCGACGTCGCTCAGCTCGTGACTGCTCCTCGTCGGCTTCTCTCAAGGCCTCTGTCCGAGATCCTGGAGGCCCGGTAGTCGTCGGATCCGTCCTTGACGACCCGGGTCGGGAATCACCCCCGGCCTCACGGCGCGGTGTAGCTGTCGCAGATGGCGACAATCCGTCGGCTGCGTCGGATCTCGCGCCGCCGTCGAAGCAACCAGCGGCCACCATCCGCTTGACCAGAGCAGATACCCCTCTGGCCTTGAAGTCCAACCGATCTGCAGCAGTCTTTCGTGTAACATGTCGGCCTGCTGGCCAGCCGCAGCGGCACTTCGCGTCGTGGTCGTCGAAGTAGCTGCTGCTGACGATGCGTGTAGTCTGAGCTGCTGGTGATCCTCGAGCGTCACGAACCCCGAGATTGCACCATCGTGGTCGTCCTGAGTGCCACCTCCTGTCGTCCAGCAGCTCCAAGATGTCGGGCATGTCCCACACCGCGCTGCCCTCGTCCGCCTCGACGATGCAGCAGCGATGCCCTTCAAGTTGAGCTCGAGCAATCTTACACTCGAAACGCTTGGCTCGCTTATCGTTGCGATTGCCTCGCGACGTGCCCGGCTGGGCCAGGCTGATCCAAACGAGCTCCGGCTGCTGGTGGCGCAAGGAATCCGCCCACTTATCCTCCTGCCCGAGGAATCTGTGAACATCACAGTTGCGACCCACCGCATATCCGCATCCGTGCAGCGCGTTCTGGCACAGGTTCTGCAAGTCGCCGAACACCCATGCCGATGGCGGTCTCCCCTGTACTTCCCTGGTGCCCCCGCCGTCCCGAGCACCGAGATGGGGCGTCTTCGATCAGAGGCGCAGGCTGCCCGCGTCGGGCTGCCCGCTGGCGCTGTCCGATGTGGCACCGCTGCCGGATGACGTCGCCGTAGTGGTCTTCTTGCTTGCCGTCCTGGTGGATGCGGGAGTCGGTGCGGTTGCTGCAGGCAAGGATGTCGAATCTGATGTCGTCGAGGTCGCCAATGCCATCGTCCTCGTGGGTCCCGAACTCCCCGATGTTCCCGTCTCGTCGTAGAGGTCGCAGGGCAGCATGAGGTGACCGGCGTGGCTCTCTTCCAGATGATACTGCGATGATCCTGGGCTCAGCTGCAGGGAGTAGCCGCCCGGACCGATGCGGTACATGCGATTGTTGAAGCAGTCGAGCAGTATGCGCTGGCCCCGCAGCGATGCTCGCCCGAGCAGTGCCGGAACGCTGCTGTTCGGGAGCACCGGAGCCTCGTAGGTCGCGGCTTGTCCTCCCTGCAACGCCAGTTGATAGCGATGAGTGTGCGTGGCCTGCTGAGATCCTGAGCCCACACCACCGACCTCAAGCACCCGTTCAAGTGGGGTGCGGACAGGCGGTGGACGTCCTGCCTGCTGCTGTCGCGCTGCCATCCTGTTACCCCACTCGTCGCCAATAAGGTTGCCTGGGCTCCCGGGGTCCACCAGCAGAGCCTCGCCGCTCCTGTCCTTCATGCGGGTGCGAACCAAGTAGGTCTCCCCGCTGGCGTTCTCGAACTGATCAACTCGCCACCATGGGAACCATGTCGGGCTGGTCAAGGCCGCTGATCGCCCAGCTGTCGTCGGAGGCTGATCCTCCGCAGCTCGGTCCTGCATGCTGGCCTGGATCTCCGTCACTATGTCGTGCTCCGCGACGTTGTCGCGCATGTCCAGGGTCTCCCAGCTCAGAGCCTCGCGGAGGGTGTCCTCGTCCAGGTCGTCGATCTGCAGGCCGGGCGTCCGGGCGTCTTCGGTAAACCAGTGCAGCACTCCAGACAAGGCTCCTGTCCGCGGCTGCGCGGGCACAGGCGCATAGGCGGCCAATGTTGGGTCGGCGGCAGGAGCCCCAGCCTGCTGCGTCCCCGTCGCGGCGCTGCCCGAGTTCCAGGACATGAAGTGCTTGCCCTTGCCCTTGCCCTTGCGCTTGGGGCAGGCGGCCACGAGGTGAGTCTCCGAGTCGCACTCGTGGCACCGCATGGTGCGGCCGTCACTGCCTCGAGGATTGGTGGCGCCGGGCGTGCCTGCCATGTAGTGCTTGCCGCCCTTCTTCTTCTTACCTTTTCCTCCCGCCAGCGAGCCTGGGTTCACCACCGATCCTCCAAAGTGGTATCCCTTGCCGTGGCCTCGCCCACGTCCGAAGCTGTTGCCGCCCTTGCCGCTGTTCATACGAAGAGACCAGTTGCTGCGCGGGAAACGAGAGCGGCGGCTGTTCCGTTGAACAAAGTGGCGAAACCTACGCTTCGCGAACAGGTACTCGTGTAGCAGGGTGTCGTAGTCCCAGCCCTCGGAGTCGCCATAATACTCCTGTAGTTCCTCCTGAGTGAACTGGGAAGTGTCCAAGTCATCATCATCGGTCATCGAGTCATCGTCCCCGGGCTCGTCTTCGTACAAGTAGCTCGAGCAGACGGCGCAACAATCGTAGCCCTCGTCGTCCTGGACCACGTAGTGCTGTGGTGCGGATCCAGCGCTCCCTGCCGCGCTGGATGCGCTCTGACCGTACATATATGCGGCCGTGTCGTTCCAGGTGTTAGCGCCGCTGTCATTCTCGCCCGTGAACCAATGATGACCGTGATATCCTTTGCCGCGGTACCCTTCGGACAAGTTCTGAGGTCCTGCATGAGTGTGCTCCGCAAAGTGGCCCTGCTGCCGCACCATCCCTATCACGCTGTTCAGCTGATCGATCGTCAATGGCAGCTGGCCGCCGTTGGACTGCAGCACCAGGGGGTGCACAGCCTTGGGCACATGCAGGGCCTCCAAGAACAGCAGCGAGAGCACCGGCGTCGGCAGCACGAGCGGGTCGTCCAGCTGCGCCACTCGGGCGCGCAGAGCCTCGAAGCGCGTGATCGCGTCGTCGACGCTCTCCCGCTCCTGTCTGCGGAATGTAAGCAGCT